GAAAAACGGAAACGTGGCGTTCTGTCGTTTACTCTTCGAGCCGTAATTCCTATCGAGAAGTGAAATTTCTTCAAAACGCGTCGAATTAAACGACGCAGAGAGATTCGTTTAGGGAAACTTGAACGGTGAGAGAAATGGTCGCAATTTTCCTCTCCTTTTTCGAAAGGTCCGAGTTTTCGTGCTTCGGAAGTGTCGTAAAAAATCCATCTCTTAGAGAGCTATTAAAACGATAACGATCGAAAGGAGGACGTTCAAAGCCACGTGACGCAAACGACGCTTTTCCCACTCCCCGGTTACATGATTTTCGGGAAGAAGTCGCGGGAAAAGTGGGTCAGAGAAGCTAGCTCTGCGAAGTCTCGATCTAGTCTCGGCCCTGATACGTCGTCGTTCGATGAATCACCGATCCCATTGGAATTTATGAATTTCCACACTCTCTCTCGTGCTCTGTTTGCAAACGCGTTAATACGCCTTTCGACCCGTTCGAGAAAAGCTCAGACAGATAGCCGTCGACTTTTTCCTACTACGGCGCCAGTGACGTCTGGTAGAAACTTTCGCGAACTGTTCAATTTCGCTAAATTTCCAGTATTTAATCGTGTTCCGTAACAGTTCTCCCTTTTTCCTCTTTCACCAAGCCCTAGATCGACGAGAACTCATATTACCACGTTGATTTCCTTCTTCGAAATCGAGTCAGCATTGACACAATTCCCCGAATTTATATTCCACTTCCTGGCCACGTGTATTTGACGTGTATCTAACAATTTCAGAGGGACTCGTTAAACTTGACGTGTTTATCGTCGTAAAGTACGTGAAAATTTATTCCTTTTTTTTTTCTCTCTCTCTCTCGCTAAGGATTATTTCGTCATGTTAGAACGTTCATTAAGGCTACAGGGAATAAAGTAATTTCCAGATAAGCGTAGGATTTCTAAGCAGAGAAAAAAAATGAAAGCGACAACAACACGGTATCGAATTTCCGGCGGTGAAGTACGATTGAAACCAGCCATCCAGCCTTAATTGTCGACTTTTAATAGTTTCATACACGAAAACGAAAGCCCGTGCCAGGTTCCTGGTGTCACATTTTCGAATGTAGGTGTGAACACGATACGGGGTGTGCTCGACGAACCCAACCTGTCCTTGACACGAATGGCCCTTCCCCTGAACGTGATTAACCACGCGATTATTCTTAATCGTAACTTTTCCGAATTAGGCTCATTGTCATTTGTCGGTGCAACATCCGTTTTTAGTACAACTTTACGATCCCCCCGGATTTTACGGTGCTTCGTGGTACCAGAAAGTTTTATGTCACGCTACGTATCGCAGAAAATTTCGTCGAAACCTTGCTCTTCTTATTCGGAAATTCAAAGGTCTTAAAATTCTCCAATTTTCGAAACTTCATCGTATAGAGTGTACTATACGAGAATTAATCTCGAGACAGGCTGTGTCGTCAAATCTATCGTACTCCTCGAGATCTCGCGATATTTCGCTAAAGGAAAAAAGGGGAGGGGCGTGGAAATCAGCTTAACGGCGTGGCGATTGTCGTTTTTGGCGAACAAAGGCGCCGCTATCGGAGGCCTGGAGACGCTTTTCTAAATCGCATTCGCGACTAAAGGTCGCTATTTTAGGGTCGTAAGCGTCTTAACGCGCGACACGGAGGGGAGAAAGAAGACGAAGAAAAAGTCCTCGTGGCTCATTTGCTATTCAGAAAGGAAATCCCTAACCTGACGTTACAATATGTAGATGCTTCCCATTCGATTACGCGGTCACACCGTTGGGAATTATTTAACCGTTTCAAGGCCCGCGACACTTGCGATCCGTCAGTTGTTTTGCACGCGCGGGGAGTATAGATTGCCCTCCTCTCTGTCGGGTTCGATTACGGTTAAGAATTGGACAGGTGAAGAGTATCGGAAAGATGGCCGATTCGGCGGGAAGAAGGTGGAAGAGAAAAAAAGAAATATGAGGTGAAACACGGTTGGATGAAACGTGCTATAGAGAGGACGTCAGATTAGAAGCCAAGGCTTGACGGGCAGCAATGCCACCGGGACAAAAGCCCACCCTGAAGGGGCTGGCATACATATTTTTTATTATATAAATTGGCGTTGCAAAGGTTTCCCAAGAATTTATCGCGTTAATACCTATTACCGTGCGCCCTTCTGTACGACAGCCGCGGCTTTCGTTAACGAGCGATGAAACGCGCGACATGATCGACTCCCGATTTTCTTATCAAAATACGAGACGGGAGAGAAACACCGACGGAGGTTCGAAAATCGTATTTAGATAGGATCATAGTACTTTCGGGATCTGTACTAAGAGAAAGAAATATTTGTCAATTTTGAAGAATTACAACGACGGCGTATCTTGCAGCCTCTACTTTTGACAGGAAGAAAATGTTCTGCTGAAAGCCTCGTCTTTCGGCAGAAGCTTCGCAGATTCCTTGTGCAAAGAATTACAGACTCTTTCAAGCGCTTAATCCGAGCTGGCTCGACGGTGAAAGCACGTTTAGTCGCGTTTCACTGACTGATTACGAGGGAAATCGCGAATCTTCGCGATACGGGCTAATATGGCATTCGGCAGCACGCGATTTATTCTCGAAATGAATCTTTCATTTGTAAACACGAGAGATTGTTCGTTTGTTTTCTTTTGTAGAAATGTGAAATTCAAATATTTCCAAGTGGAAGTGTAAACGAAAAAGCAAGATGAATTAAAGTCAGAGAGAAACCTTTCACGTTATTAATTTTCCCTTTATCTATTCTTTCTTATCGTCAACAAAGCCACGCTTCCTTATTCACCCTTTGATCTAAGAAACTTAATCAATCGAAAAGCAAATCTTTCACAGAAAAACAGCTTTTCTTAAATCAACCTTTGGAAAATATAACACATTCTCCTATCTTCAACGAATTTTGCCAATTCCTTTTGCAAAGCTTCCCTTCCCTGATTTATCCTGTACTTCAGAGAACCTGCGAGAGGAGAATTCACGAGGCTTCGAAGATCACATATCCTGCATCCTGTGCGAGAAAAATGACCTCGAAGGACTACGATCGTGGTCGCTCCGATAGGGCAAGGCCCTCAAGGCCGAAAACACCGGACTGTTTTCCTCGAGAAGCCCCGTTCGACCGTGATCCTAATGGATGAATTACTGACCAACTCAGGGCCGATTAGTGTTCAACGTGGAACTCGCAGATATTATGCAGAGGACCTCCCTTGGAGACTTCCTAGAATCTGAACAAGTACTTATCAGCTTGTCGAACTTAATGCTCGGTTTAAACAGAATACATAAATGTCTAGGAAATTCCAACGAATTCCCGAGTAAATCTAAAGTATCTTCTTTTTTGTAGGAATTTCTCTCAGCTACGATAAGACGAGAAAGATCCGTGACTCCCGTTTCGTCACGATCAATCCACGCCTGGAACCCCTGTCGTTTACCTCGAAGACTGTTCTCCCTCGCAAGGACTTCGAACATGCCTCGAGTGATATTGCCAGTGACATGCATTGTCCCATTGTGAAACAGAACTACCCCTTTCCACCATTTAACCGATTCCACCCCTACCCAGAGAGCCTCGCCTCCCTCGAGATGTTTTAAATAATATTGAAAACGGAGTTCTGGCTCGATGCCTGTGGCCTCCTCGTCCCATATACCCAGGTGGGAGCACTTCTGAAAAACTTCGATTCAGAGGAACGACAACCCTCGAGCTGTTAACTATATTTTAATCTTCGAAAGGAAGTCGTGCCTCTTGAGAAAACTTTCATTAAACTTTATGCGCGGCCGAGCCGGCGGTCGAGGATATTACGAAAGAAGCGTCGTGGTTGCACACTTTCCGAAGTCACAAACCACTCCCGGCGGAATCGATTTCACCATTTTTATTAAGTTCATTATTCGAACTTGAATCGTGATTAACCTGATCGACACTGGCGGAAACGCGTAGGTATACACAGGTATAAACTTGTACGGACCGTTTGCGAATTCGCTACTTCATTTATTTATCTGATTTTAATTAAAATTTCCCATTACGCAATCGATCGTTATCGCTGCTTAATCAGCGTGTAAACGACACGTGATAAATTAACCGAGGCTGAAAGCGCGTGTACGGATAGCCGGACGTCTACTTATGATTTCGTATAATTAGCTGTCTACTAGTGCTCGTGATAATCGAATAATGTACAATTATGCTTCCATTGTCGGCTGCGAGTGGCATGTGGCGTGGCTATTCTCTCGCTAATTAAATAGACACGTATCGAGGCGAAAGAAGGCAATTCCATTGGGGATAATAAGGAACGAATTGTTCTTTTCTACGTTTGGAAAAACGATATGTAGATAGAAAAATGATAATTGCTTCTTTTCTTCTTTTCCCTTTCTTTCTTTTTCAACTCACACAGCGCAACGTATTATGTAAGTTTTCTATTGGGCAAAATCGATCGATAGTACTAGCTAAAACTCACCGTGGGTGTCGAACTTCCTGATGATGGTTTCGATGATCGTTGTCCTGGGCGCCACGTGACCTCGTCTAACAGGCATCTCAGGAATATTCCCAGGTAGCTGGGCCGACGAGACGTTTGGCGTTCGATCGGGGTGGCTCGTTTAAGCCTGTTTGATAATCAACGTAGCACTGAATGACTACAGCACTGAAAAAACACTCGCAGCATGCGTACAAGCACGGTAGAAAAAAGCACAGCACGAGTTGAGCATAATGATCGTCGGGGACAAAAGAAGAAGCACCAGCTAATATCGGCGACGTTCGTCACAATTCGTTCCTACGTTAAAACCCTTTGTGTTCTCCCTGCCGTGGAGCAATCAGAAAGGGGGATGGAGAAGAGAGAGGGATGAAAAGAGAACAGAAAAGAAGAAGAAGAAGAAGAAGAAGTAGAAGTAGAAGAAGATTCGTTGCTATAGTCGGGACGACAAGTGATGTTCCTTTTTTTCTTCCGGTTTCTAGACTTCTTTGCGCATTGTACAAAAGGCGCGAGTGGGATATGGTAAACAGAAGGGAAAAGTGACCACCGGGAGAAAGTTCCACTTAACGTTGATACATGTGCCCTTTGCTTCTCAAACACTCTCGTAAATAACTCGTTTCCCCCGCGACGAGGATCGTTGTTTCTTCTTGTACAAAATTCGCATATACAGCTGCGTGGACAGAGTAGAGTTGTGTGTTCGCCCCCGTAGAGAAGGCTGGATGTCGTCGTTCGACTTCCTTTCTTGGACCCAATTACTCGTCTAAAGGCTGTAAACCAGTGACATATGATTCATCCTTGTCGTTGTTCCGAAAACACGGAGAAGGTCGGTCCCGTGTCGTCCCGGCTCCCGAGTGTCACGAGGTCCGAACGTGTATATCTCTCTGTTCCGATGGTCTGTCCCCAGCTCGACATGGAAAATCCACGCGAGAAAACGTCTATTTATAAGTTGACACACCACGCGCCGCGCGGTGTATTTCTCGCGAATTCCAGAACAGGGCAACCGGAATCTGGAAAATGTCGCGTTAATCGCCCTTTTTCTTCGTTTGTGCACGAGGAGGTCTCCCCTCCCCCTCTCCTCCTAACTTCCTCGAATCACAAGCAGCACTCTTACGATATATATCCTCTCCTTCCTATTGTACAATTCCTCCGGTTGTGTGTCGTTTCGCGTTTATTTTAATTCCTTCTATGAGACAGCCAAAGGATAACTTCTAGGTCCTCGAAGAAATCCGCAAGCTGTCCTCGTGTTTCTGGCCCGTAATATCGTACCCTGTCGTCGATGGACGCTCCTATCCGGAGAAGATTCGACCTCGTCGGCTCGAAGTCAAACTTCTCTACATCCGGAGGAATGAACAGTGGACGTCTCGGAGAAGCGCATTGTGCGGACATTTCCACGAATGTTGTATTATTCTTCGACGAATCACTCGGTGAGCAGAGTTGTTCCGGGCGTGATGTGCGTGTCTCGTCGTGCTCAACGATCGAATCTCACGTACGCTGACACCACCTGTTTCACGGAGGTAACGAGGATCGTTCGGAACGAAAGGATCACGGATACCATGGCAATAGGGTGGATAGGAAACGAGAGGAGACAAAGAACGTTTGGACGGGGAGAGATTTGCTACGTGGTAGGGAGAAACGGTGAACGTCGATACTCTAGGACGACGACGAGAAAGGCACGTGGTGGATTGGTAGTCGCGTTCACACACGAAATGCCAAGAAGCGCGGGTTCGATTCACCCGGTTCACTGGTGCTGGCGACACCACGTAGGAACGCACACTCCCCTTCTGCTGAATCGAATGTCCTGGTTCGCGGGGGTCAGGCGGTTGTGCATTTCAGCTCGAGCTCAGGGACAGTTATTTTTATACTTCTTCTTCATTCTCCGCAACAATAACTGCCGGACCGCTCCACAGAGTGCCTCTCGCGACTTCTCCCGATACTTCTCGAAATACTCATCGGCTCCTCTCGTAACCTGTTGGCGACGGCCACTGACACTGCCCACCGAATGCACCGTTTCATCAACTCTTTCTCGTGACGACGTTACGTTCCTCGTACCAGCCAACTCTCATCTCTCCCTCGCTTTCTCTTCCAACAAATCACTAAACGAGAACAAAACCGAAAAATCTACTCCTTCCTCCTGCCTCGTATCCTCTTGTCACGCTTATCCTCCAGCGCTATTATCCAACAACTACATCCTCCGCCTGGCCACCACGCCTCGCAGGTCGAAAATCGAAGCTCCTTCCTTGCTCGTCGTCGCACTGTACCTTCCGCGTAGCTATCCTAAACTAAACGTTTCGCGTTCCATCGAGATGAATCTCCATTGAACGACCGGCACACCGTGTCTCGAGGGGTTGACTGCCAAAACACTGTTGCTTTCCCGCGTGCTCTCTGCTCGTTAGAACGGTGCGTTTACCGGCGTACAGGCATATCGAACCCGCGTGCCCAAATCGGAAAACGCCGCAGCCACAGGCGAACACTGTTCGCTTCTTCTTCCTCTGCGGGGGGGGAAAAAGAGAAATAATTCCGTGGTAATTCGTTAGTCGCCGTCGTACGATCGGAACTGAAAATACGAGGAGGCACGACGGGCCGACGTCTCTCTCGGCGACGGCGACGACGACGACGAAGACGACGCCGGCGACGATAGTTAGGGGGGTCGTCCGCGGCGCCTGCGTCGTCGATTCGTCCCCACCAGACTCGCTCTCCACCCGATTACCGCCGCCCTATCGTACCCCCTCACAGACCAGTGATAATATTGATAAGGTCCTGCGTCTCTTTCTGCCGCGTGTACGTCCTCCTTCCGCTGGAATCCGCGCCACTCTACGAACGGAGCAGAGGGCCAGAAGAGGATAACGTCGGTTCCTCGGGCAGGACCGATGAAATTCTTGCTTTGATTATTGCCACGGTTTATTTGCATCTTGTTAGAACCGTCCGGAGTAATGAAATTCTAATGCCGGATAAATATGAGAATTCCAACTAATTTCGTTTGTGTCTTGTAAAAATTAAATACTGCTTGTTTTTTTTTTTTTTATCATACTAGTCGTTTAAACGTTGAATAAACAAATTGTCAAGATCTGAAAGAGAAAAAGATTGTTCAATTTTTATCGTTGTGTATTACAGAAAGGTTGGAGTAATTTAAATATTACTTACCTCTACTTTACGATTCCTATTTTTCAAGTTTTTATTAAAACAGAACACGAGGAATAATGTAGAAATTCCTTCCTGCATAAGTAATAGAACCGGGGTGAAATAAATTACGGTGGAAATGAGTATTTTAATGCCTGTGAAATGTTTGTCGAGACAGTTTTATTGTTTATTTTATTCGAGTTCCCGCCGGTCGATATAACAACACGTAATATTGTCTCTTTCTGTTTAACCATCAGCGAGTTCCGTCGCAGCTCGAGGTTAATTATAAATCGTTACGAGCCATCGCGTTTCGACAAGGAACTCGTGCAGAGGTAAATCAGATATCTTCAAAGGGGACACTTACCACTGTTGTACGTTCGCCACAGTTTTGCAAACTGCCGGGATAATTAGCGGCTGGTGCGAATCGACGCGTACAATCTCGAAATAGCAATCGTCGTGTGAACACCATTTTACCAAACACTTCCTTTTCGTAGACGTATTTCGTGTAACTAGTTGTTATTTCTTCTCGTTTATCCCAACGAACGTTAACAGTTAAACACACACTTGACCGTCAATTGACGCCATTTCGAAAAATTCGAGGAATATCGATATCGTCTATCGATAGTGCTGTTACTACTTGAAGCATTTCGACATCTTTCGTTGCAACGCAATACCACGAAAAAGTGAGGAGGAGTGAGCTTAAAGCTACTGTTGATATAGTCGCTGCACTATTTTATCGACATTGCTGTCTTGTATCTATCGTAGATACTTTAACTATTCTAACAAAGGCTAAATTGAAATCGAGAAGTTCTAATCACCATGGGAATAATGCCAAATCGAAATCGTTAGTACGTTTGCTAACGAGACACCCCCTACTACGCATTAAGACGTCATACTGCGTATTCTAGTATATATATACACAGTACACATGGAAATATATATGCAATTATCGATAATTTACGATTAAACCTTGAAAATATAACGATTTATGCACGTGAAAGGTTGAAATCGACGAAAAAAGAAGGAAAAAATCAAATGGCGCCATTACTCACTTTGCAATTCGGCAGCTCCCGCCACCATCGTGTAGTTTTTCGTCCATATCTTCGTATAAAACAAATTACCACTTGAAAAAATATACACATCGCAACACAACAAGTTAGCACTATCTTTTCAGATCGAAGAAACTAGCAGAAACGCGTTTTTCCCGCACTTTTACTAAATTTTCACAATTTCGTACCATTGGCGCGAAACGTGCCTGTTCCCTCGACTCGCGTTCAAAAATGGCGGCTCGCGGAAAGAGACGAAGGGGTCGCCACAGTCGTTCGTGCATTTCCGCGGACCGGCGAGTGTTGGGGAGTACGGGGTCTACGGGACTCGAAGCACGGAGCCCCGCCCTGCCGCCCGCCAGAGCCGTGAAGCAGCAGCAGCAGCAGCAACAGCAGCTCCGCTTGCTTCGTACCAGTTTTTTATCCATGAAAACAATCGCCTGAACGCTGTGTTGTTCGACTGGTTGGTAGATACCGCGGTGAACGACGTGTATTTCTTCGTCGGTTCCAGTTCACGCGGTGACGGTTAACCTTAAAAGAAGTGGCGGTCGCGGTGGTGTCGCGGCGAGATAATCCCGCGGTGGAACAGGACTCGTCCCGGTCGTTGAGGCGTCGTCTACCAGTGCGTTCGCTCTGATTCTCGACGTAGTTCGAGACAGAGAGGTGTGATAAAGAAAAGTGCATAGTCATCGATGTGAGAAGTCGAGGCTAGGAGGAAGGCCCGCCGCAGCAGGAGGGAGAGAGAGAAAGAGAGAGAGAGAGAGAGAGAAAGTAAGAAAGAGAGAGAGAAAGAGTAAGAGCGAGGAGCTGTTCGTGGATAGGAGAGGCCGATACATCGAGCCGGAAATTTAGGCGACCGTAGCTCCGTTAGGGAGCTCCAGGTACGATAAAATACATTTCTTCGTAATAGTTGATAGATATTCGTTTGGATGGTGTATAAAAGACAGTGCAAGCAGTGGCACTGGCTAGCCCTTCGACTCGGTTGAAGCAGCCAACATGGCGACCGCCTAGGCTACGCTGTCAAATTTTCCTGTTCCGTCATCGCGGTTATTTTAACATCGATTGCGTTTCTCTCGCGTGTTTGCTCGACGAATATTCGTTGCTGTTGGAAATACCGTCGGCTGGCTGTGAAGAATTTCGCCCATCAAGCGTTATCGACTTTTTTTCGACGTGAGTCAGTGCCGGCTCCCGCGGTAATGAGATTCTTCCTGTTTAAGCCTGAACTTTCCTCGTTCAAGAATTTCTACAGCGGTAGGAAAGAACACAAGAGCGAAAGTCGTTGGCTTCCTCGCTGGACATGGTTATAGATTACGTGAGCAGAATTACCACTGGCAGAAGTTTCGCGTGGCCAACGATATCTGAGATTACCGCAAATTTACATAGGGGATCAATAACCATTAATTCGCACGGTACAAGCGTCGATATATTTCATTATCTGTTAATGCACGCCTGCGTCTTGTATTTATTATGAATACTACACCATCCCGTTGTCGTCTACACTCGAATTTTATCTCCACGATATTATATCGAATTTTTTTTTCTTTTCTTTTTTCAAGTTCTTGTAATATCTAGCTTATAGGGAACCTGTCGATAACATAACCCTCAAGAATGAAAAAAGAAAAATGTGGCTGCCTCTGTCGAGTGTAGGAAATATTGGTAAGATGGCGCGAAATTTGTCGACGCAAAACGCCATTGTTGACACTCGTTTCACTACGAGCAAAAGCCTATTGAAATTATCTCATGACATAATCTAACGCAATAAAGGGAACGTTGCATAATGTGCAGCCATGAAATTCGCACGAAAACAAGCTTTGTGTGCTTCTCGACACGTAGAGAGGAAAGTGTAGGGTAAACGCTGTGTTACTCTTCTGCAAAAACGTGAATCCGCGAGATAAAAATACCACGACGCCGTTTTCTACCACTGGTACACGTGTTCTCCAAAAATATGACACTTTCATCATCGAGTGCGTCTTCTAATTATTACTCGAGGCTGAACACTAAGCGCCTAATAAATCTTCGAAAAAATGATTAAAGGTAAACCTAAATATTACAACTTTTTCTTCACATTTATATACAGAGGCTGATTCACGTGACAGAGACAGTTCGTATTAACGCAGCCTACGGAATTCTAACCTAACCTAACCTACAAATGCAACATTCGATCGTACTTTTATTTTTCGGTAAATCCATACATTTTTTACCCTCCGCATATTTATTCGATTCATCGAATGCACAGTTATCGGTACATATTATTATCAGTGAACTATTATAAACAAAAATTTAACGAAACTGCGTGAACTGAAGCCCAACCTTGACGGGTGTCGCGTTTCGAGGAATCGTGAAAGCAATATTTACGTTACGAGTCACTCTCAAGGTAATCGATCTTAAAAGCGTCTTGAACGTACGATATATTTTCCGTTATCGTCGCCATGGTTTTTTGTCGTGCTTTTCAGAGGTTACGTTATTTGCATCGTCGATGAGTCACGTGAAGGAACACTGAAACGATAAAGGAAATGTAATAAGCGGACCTTGAATTATTTGTTCAACGACTTTACAATACCTCACGATTCTTTGTTTCGTTAAGCTCAATATTAACAGATTAGAAACGTTCTTCGTCGAACGTATAAAATTTCTCTACGATCTTAACATTTGCAATTTCTTTCGGAAAAAAGATAAGTTCTCGTCGCACAGTTTATCGGTTAAATTAACATTCTCCGTTTAATCGTCGATCGTAGCAACCGTCTTCAAACATTCGAGCGAAACAAAGTCTAAATTGCTCGCGTGTAATTCCTCGAAAGGGAAGAGCAGCGGCAGGGGGGAAAGGTTAATTTTCCAACGAAAACCAAGATTAAACGTGTCAGCGTAAATAAGTAGAGAAAAAAGGAGCGAAAGATGGAAGACGTTAGACACAGAGTACACGTATACAGGAGTTGAAGTCTGCATCGCGATTGGCCGGCCAATTGCCGCAGCCAGCTGTCTTAATCGTCTTTAATTGGTTCGAAATATAAAGTCGTTGCAGTCTCGGAGACAAGTGGCGTGTCTTCGCTTCAATTGACAGCGTGTCTTCCACTCGAGAGATGCGACACTGATAACGTTCGTTATCGATGTTGCACTCTTGATTGCGAAGAGAAATCGATTTTTGGTTCGGCTCTGTGTATGACAGATAGATCCAGCTAGATAACAGTGGAAATCGCACCGGTGGGATAGGTAAACATTGGCGATCGATCAAGATACGCGGTCGAATTAAATTCTCCTTATTCCGAACGTTGTTTCGCCTCTCAGCTGTTGTACGACGAGTTAACTCGTCATTAATCACTACTTATTGAGGAATTATTCATTTTCACCCTTTTCAGGACGATAGATAGACTCGTATATGCGTTCACAAAACTACGAGCGCACCCAATAAACTCGTCATTTTAATAAAAATAATTCGAGTGATTATGGACTCGTGTACGTACGTATATTTGACGAAAATAAAATTTTGATATAATTTAGTTTGAAAAAAGAACTGAAGTAGTGACTTAATTGTGTGTTGCACAAATAATTAGTACTTGGCATATAGTCCTCCGTCCGTAAAAGGTTAACTGTACCGTTATTTTGTAATTTTGCAAAGGGGAACACAGTAATTTTTTAAATTCACAATTCTCTTACTGTGAAAAAAAAAAATTGATTTTTCGTGGAATATGCTAAATTGCCCGGTGATATTCCGAAATATTCATTTCTTATTATAAATTATAAACTCAATTTTTATGTAAAAGGAGAACACGATAGTTTTTTCAATTCACAATTCTCTTGGTACAGTGACAAAAAATAATTGATTTTCATGAAATATGCTAAATTGCTCGGTGATATTCCGATCGCGATAACGTTCGACAAACAGTCTGTAAATTTCGCCGCGTGAAAACAATGCCGTATCTTATATGCGCGCTCGCGCGCGTGTCATCCGAAATCCTCACGTAGATAAGAGGACACATGTTGTAAACACTGGATGTGTCTCTCTTCCTTTTTTTTTTTTTTTTTCGACGATCTCTAATGACGATCACGTTTCGTTGGACGGTTAGTAGGTCGCCGAGTACTTAGTCAATGCGAAAGTAATGCCAATGACGTATACACCACTGGCGAAAACCCCTGTCTCCCTTCCTTCCTGCCCACCCTGGGACCCCCTTTCTTTCCCCCTTCTGTCTCTGGGGTCACGTCCTGTTATAACGTTCCCTCTCGTCCGCCTCGAGTCAGTCGTCCCTTCTATACAGACGGATAGAAAACGAGCAGAGAAAAGGGTTGTTGATTTTAAAGGCTCAAGTGGAGAGACCGGCCGGGGCTGAACTTCTGCTGTTTGAATTTTTATCGGCAACTTTTCTTCCCGACAAGTTTCTCGGATCTTAAGGTGATTATGTTTCTTTGCTAAGATGGTAGGATTTCATGTGTCCGATTTTCTTTCGAGATTTAGATGTGTGAATAATATGAGGTAATTGTCGTTAATATTTAAAATTTGACGTGTCATTTTTTTTTTTTTTTATTATTTGAAGGCTATTTTCTGTGCTGCCTTCTATGTTAGTTCTTTGTAATCGAGTGGCGATTGAGAAGGGAAACCATTTGTGAGCCTCCATAAATTGAAATAAAATAGTTTAGTTCATTTCTACGTTAGTTTGCAATTTGCAATCTTTCTCAAAATGATTTACGAGTGCAAAGGGTTGAATTGGCAATCAGCTGTATTCCTTTTGGAAAAGTAACCGGCAACGTTAGTGTTACCAAAAAGATTGCATTTTTAAAAATATCCTAACTACTGCACTGTAAAATTAGGAGAATTTTCGTTCAAAATTGAGACACGTAATTTGAATTGACAACTATGTATTAATAAAAGAGTTGGAATACACTTCGAAATTGCTGTACCGTGAAATTAGGAGAAGCCGAAGTATCAAGTTTTGCCATTTGACCGTAGCTTCGATCGGGAAATAAGGGACAGAGGGAAGGAGAAGTAGTGAGGGATTTCTGATTCTTCGATTAACGAAAGGGTTTGATTGAGTGGCGTGATAGTAACCAGATTCATGGTGGGCAAGCAAACGTATCCGTCTTTACAACAGTCCAATTTCCTTTGACCCGGTCCACGAGCCTTCTGGATGCTTGGATAATCCAAACATTCGAATGCCCGCTCTGTGCTCCCTTCCTCCTCTGACGTCACTGTGATCCGTAAAAATAGCGAAACGATCTATTTGCGGCTTAATTTCTTAACACTCGTACTTACATCCTCGTAATACACGTATGTATGCAACGCTACAATTTCAAGTTTTTTTTTCTTCCTTTTTCTCCCCCTGGTATAAAAGCACCAGGAAACGACGATTTTCCCTGCCGTTTTTAAGCGTCGTTAACCTGAACCGTCGTTCGAGTTGCCTATTTACCTTTTATCAGCGGACTGCGGATACTCGTGTAATTATAACATGTTGAAATATGCAAAACGGAGAGAGAGAGTAACGTTAGATTCTCTCTGGAGATAGGTAAACAACAAACGTTCATCTTTACGTGAATTTACCGTAGTAGTTTAAAAGTAGGATTCGTTACTTTAGCATATTTTCATTTGTGAAATTTCTAATTAGGAAAATTCTGTGAATAACGTAGGTAGGAAAGATTCAGTTACGTTGTAAAGTTAATCGAGTGGAGAAATTGGTTGGATTACGAGATAGAAAGCCGGTGATCGCAGAACGATAAATCCTGACACACCGGCAGTCGCATATTCAGGTTACTTTCTGACGTCACGATACGCCTTCTGACGTCACTCACCTGCCGTAGCCTCTCCGCAACGTATCTACCGTCCTGCTTCGCCCCGTTTCGTCAGCCCTGTACCCACCTCCGCTAATGTATAGCCCCTCTCTATAGAAGCCACGGG